GTATCTTGCAGAGGACAGAGAGACAAGAAGGAAAAACTGCTAAATGCAGTTTGTGAAATGTAGTTTCACTGAGAAAAACAACAACAACAACACAATTAAAAACAAGTAAGAGCTGTTGATGTTTCAACATGACAAGACAAGTGAAACCGACCATCAACGGTTATGATCCCAGAAACTTTACCCTTTAGCCTAAAGACGTCACAATAGCTGATACAAAGAACCAAGTAATGTGAAATGCTCTTGTTTCTTACAAACCCTGGGGGGTAGTTGTTTCACATCATCACAGAAGTCTTTTTCTAAATCCACAAAAGCTGATGCAAAAGGCATAATAAATAACAAATAATGCCGTCACATCAACCTTGACACAGTTTGCTCATTAACTTCTCGACACGGTCTGTGTTTTTGTAATGTTGGTGTAGTGTATAAATCATAGGTGTAAATGCATGCCAATCTGTTTCTGTCAGTGTGAACAGGTGAATTATACCCTTTACCAAAAGTGACATGTGTGTGCATGCAATGCAGTATTTACCCTGTGTAACTTACAGCACTTTCTAAGTGTAAACATATGAGACTGTCAAACAAATCTAGTCTCTTTGGATCCGATACCCTCCATGAATGACCTTGTTTAATAACACATTTGAGCTATTTTACTATAACTTATGTAAGCTGTCCATTCTTCATGAGCTTTTCCAAATGTACCAAATAATTGTAGATTTGTACTGGATTTCTTTTTTTCAAATAGTATGAACATTATTCAGAAAACTCTTTAAACTTGAATCACACTGAATATGTAGCCTGGGTTATTGTTTGTTTATCTTGCATTGTGGTTAAATGGCAATACTGTTTTATTTGAAAAATACTGCTCACATTAATGTAATTTAGCCATAAGGTCTGGATGTTTCTGTACTCAAAACCGTAAGGGGATTTGTGTTATCAACGGTAGGGTATGTGAGGAATCCCAAGGTGACAGGTGAGAGCTACTGACCTGGATTCCTAACATTAAAATGAGCCATTATAATGTCGGATTACTGAACAGAGACAGGTGCTTTGTCCGTTTTGGGAGATAGAACAAGCAGGTCTAGAGTTGAGACAGCTGTGACAGCAGGTTGCTACTTGTTAGCTACCTGTGTTTCCCAAGGCTAACATTACCAGTTGATAAATGGAAATTAAATTGAAGTTTCCTTAGCTAACTTTCATAATGTTACTAAACCGACGACAGCAACGACACATTACAAAGTCGTTATTTATTAACCTCAACTTAGAGTTAAAGTAACACATTAGTGTCAGTTTCCCATGTCATGTCGAGTTAAATAAGAAACAAAACACAGAGGAAACAGCTTTTGTTTCCATTATGGCGACATGTTTATAAAGTTAGTTAGCATGAGTAAAGGTAGCTAACCTTAACCCATGCTAACAAAAACATGCTAATTTACGTTGCTAACACATTTTAACATTAATCACCGTCGTGTATCAACTTGTCCGCCATATCTAACAAGAACAATTAAACAATAGTTTCCTCTCACCTGGTGTTGAAATAAAGCAGCAGCAGCAAGTTTTTCCCACGGAAAGGCAAGATATGGATTGGAATATATTCCAACAATGTCCAAAATAAATGAGACACAGTGAGGATGCTTCAGGAAGAACAAGTGCACACATTAAGATATAATGGAGGTGGGAGGCATGGCTGGAGGAGGGCGTTTTAAAATCCCAGCCTCCTCTGGATGAGCCCTCCTTCCTCCTCTGAGCATTGTGGGAATGGTTTAGTTCAGTCAACACAATCTGCAGGTTCATCCAGCAGGACCGACAGCTGCTCACATTCCCTTTAAATCCAGTGGGGGATGTAACTTACTAAGTACATCTACTCAAGTATTGTATTTTAGTAAAACATTTAGGTACTTTTAATTTACTTGAGTTATTTCGTTTTGTGCTATTTTATACTTTTACTCCACTACAATTTGTTGGCAAATGTTGAACTTTTTACTCCACTACATTTATTTAACATATTTAGTTACAAGTTAATTTGCAGATCTATGTTATTAATACAAAAATGTTAGTCAATTAATACATTATCATATATTTCTTAAAGGTTAAGCCACCCAGTAGTAATTGAAGTCATTCAAATAGACCACACTAAGTGCAACATTGAACTGATGACCACATTAATGCATCAATAAGTATAATACAATACTTTTAAATATATTATGAGTACTTTACTTGTAGCAGAGTATTTTAACACTGCAGTAGCCTATTGCTATAACCTGAATACATCTTCCACCTTTGTCTAAATTAGCCTACATGATGCATGCTTGTGACCTTGCATGCTCCACAGTAATTATTTGGCATTGACATGAATTATCACATTACATTTGAGGATGACCTTTACGGTAAGAAACAATGACACCGCGCCCAGCACGCTAAGGGTGGAAACCTGTTTTATGTAGGCAACTAAAGGGAATGCAGGTAGGCGCTCAGGTAAAATGTTCCATTAAGCATTTTTTTTTTTTTATCAAATTGAAAACAGGTGGGCAGTGGTGTCATTCTGTATAGTAACAATCTGAGATTCTTGAGTTTCCATTTTATGCTACTTAACATTTCTACGCCACTAGATTTTGGGGGAAGATATAGTATTTTTAACTCTAGTTTTATAACTTTAGGTAATTCACAAATGAAGATCCTTAAAAAAAAATAGTAGCCTAAAATAGTACATGAATATACCCAGCCAGCAGCATATAAAGCAAATTAACTTCACCTTTACCAGCTTCAACATTAAAGTGATGAACACACATACATGCCTCAATAATTATAATTGACTAATTCATGTGTTGTTGTTTTTTTGCCTTTAAGTGAATCTACAATTTCATAACAAGTGGGTGACTCCACCTGCTGGTTAAGAGAGTGTGCTATAAGTGAAAGCTCCTATAACCACACTTGGTGCTAAGAAAGTTGTGTCAAAGAAATTCACTATAGCTTTGAAATACTTTGTTAAAAGTATCTTTTCACAACAGTAAAAGGAATAATAAGAGCAGCCAAAACCTAACCAAACTCTTTCAATATGCAAATACACATTGTAAGTGAAGCTCATCTGTAACACCATATTATTTACAAGCTCCTGTGCCTAGTGCTGCGTACCTGGACTCACATTCAGGTTCAGGTCCGGACTCAAGTCCAGAGGTTCAGGTTCAGGTCCGGACTTATAAGTCCGGACCTGAACCCATGGCTTGTGTCAAGTTGTGTGAAAATTAACTCATAATCAACTCAAATTCAAACTCGTCAGGTATTGTGCTCCCTTCCAACTTGTGTCTAGATTTCTCTACAAAGTACAAATGTAAAAAAAAAACGTTTTGCCACTTAGTCTACAAATGACTTATGACAGCAACTACAGTGAACTACTACACAGTTCAAACATTTATTTCATTTACCAAACTAAAGTAACCAAACAGTCCCTGAGTCCACTACACTGTAGTGACTGTACAGTCAGAGTGTACTGTACTGTCTGTACACCATGTCTTTTCTACAACTCTACATGTGTACATTATACAGTACATACTACATACATAGTGATATACATACATACTGTTAGAAATTAAAATCAATGTTGATATGGCGTAATTTTGAATTAAATACACTATTTAATTTAAATCAGTTTTATTCTGAAAAAACCGGAAGTTCACACTATTAACTTAATACTTTTATTCTGAAAATTCTTCACTTTCGGTTAGCATTAGCATGTGGTGAAATGCTACGTTTTCAAACCGTGAATCGAAGGTGAAATGACATGTGATGTTGTACACTGAGCACACTGGGATTAGCACTCATTTATTGACGCTGAATAACGTTTATCAGGGAATGTTTAAATAACCACAGACACCAGAATATACGTAAGTGCTAGTTTTTTTGCGAGTCCAAGTACCGGTTCCCGACGTTCCGGTTTTAACCGGACTTGAACCGAAACTTTTTACAAGTCCAGTACCGGTTCGGCGTACCGGTACGCAGCACTACCTGTGCCTTTATGCATACCTTGTTCGTTTGAAACGTTTATGGTTTATTGCTCTTATTGCGAGTCGTGTTGGATAAAAGCATCAGATAAATGTCATGTCATGCATGACTTCATCTAAACTCTAAATAAGGAAGTGTTAAACCAATTTTCCTCGAAGCTTACTTGTTTTTCATATCTGGATTCATTATTAAATGTGTTTTTAATATTGTGCAGTTATGTGCAGGATTAATACGTATGTAAATTGTTCAAAGCTTGGCCATGTAGTATGTCATCTCATAGAGCAGGGGTGTCAAACTCAAGGCCCGGGGGCCAAATCCGGCCTGTGACTTCATTTTCTGTGGCCCACAAGCGCTAGCAAAGAATATGTTTATTATACGGTTACAGGCCGATTTACAGAAGAACGTAGCCCATAAACTACATGTCCCACAATGCATCTCAAATTTGCCTTTTTTCTCAACATTTTACTGTTTTTCTTCAAAATATTCATTTTTTCTTAGAATTTGCCTTTTTCTCAGAATCTGACTTTTTTTTCAAAATGTCATTTATTTTAATTTTATTTTGACTTTTTTCCCGAATTTGGCTTTTCTTTTTAAATCGTTTTGTCAAATGATCACTGAAGAGACTTGCAATTATTTGCCCTCGACCTCTGCTTTCAGACATAGTTAATTATGAAGTTATTACCCCATCCGATAATAATCCAATTCAGAGGCAATAATGTAATATAATACATTTTATATATATTAAATATTTATATATGTATTTTTATAGTCTTATACAACTGGCCCTTTGAGTGCAACCAGGATGCTAATGTGGCCCGAGATGAAATTGAGTTCGACACCCCTGAGATAGAGGGTAGTTTCCATATACTGGCGTCCAGCAGGTGGCATCATTGTACTAACCCTAATACATGAACAATGGCACAGCCATCCAGCATGATAAACAATTACAAACATTACTGCACATAGCATTTAATATATGCAGTTTGATAAATGCATTAGTCTTATTCCCTAGGGATAGGTTTTTATTAAATACTATAGGCGTATTGGCAGACATACACATGGAAAAGTACTGTACATAAACATTTTATGGGCTGCATTTGAATCTATCAGGACATTTCTTTTTTTACTTAGTTGTATTTAGTTTTAGCTGTCTTGTTTAAAATGATTGCAACTATGATCAAGTTTTTTCCAAATTAAAAGCCTAATCATGAGTAAATTATCAGTATGTAAAAAATAGAATATCTTCTAAAAAACATATTTGAGCATTCATTGCCAAAAATATTGGTTGTAGTGTTGAGTGGTTGTGTAACAAAAATAATCTGCCAAAGGATTTCTCTCATATCCAAAAAGATCAATATCTGTGTTGGCCTTTCCCAAATTCCCATCTCACTCAGGCTCGAGTTTGTTTACTCTGTATGTTTGCATTTCTGGCTCTGTTGAGAACAAACTCTTACCTTCCCATACTCACTGACATAAAACACAAACTTCCCTTTATATACACACATATTTAACAATCTCAGTACTCCCTAAAGAAACAAAGAACTGACTTGAAAAACAGTATCAATGAAAGAAAGGAAAATATCAGAAAAAACTGAAGGAGCCTCTTCACGAATGCACCTCGCTGCTTTATTTACAGCACTATTTTATTTGATCTTGATATGACGGGCAGACATCTTAAGCTGAAGACGCCAAACACTCTTTACTCCCAGGCATCGCGTAGCAAAAAGACCAAGTGCTGTTGGTTGATCATGAGTCCAAAAAAAAAGCGAATTAGTAGGATTTTCTGGATTAGAAAAAATAAACAGAGACTAACATGTAAAAACATTTTCTATGATCGTAAATACCTCAAGAAGGACAACATATCAGCTATGTACAAAAACATCAACAATATATTCATATATATATATTTATATATATATTTTTTATCTTCTATACCCACTAAAATAAGAAGCAGCTATTGGTCAATCTGAGGAACTCGTTCACCAACATGTTTTTGAAAACAGTTTAAATATCCTTCAGCTGTAAATGGGAACTCAAAAAACAAATAAGGAAAAGAAAAGAAAGAGACGTAAATAAAAATTAAAAAATATAACCCAACAAAAGTCCTGTGTTTATCCTGTGTGCCATTTTGGAATACTGCAGAGTGTGAGGAGGTAGGCCACTTCAACCAGCTTCTCCAGTGGATAAGAGTTTGTTCGACGATGGACCGAATCAGACCATCCAACAGCGTTCCCAAAGTCTTTCAATCATAGTTCGTCATCCGCTTGCGTACAAAGACTCAGACACAGTTCCATGACAACTGATTTAGGCCACAGACAAAATAGAAGGGCACTTTTTTTCAAAATACGTAGCAACCCGGGGATGAAGCCTCTTGCTGAATTAAGGGGAGGGGGAAACAGTCTGGACTTGGGAGGGGTTTAGCAGCCTTCTTGTTTGTCAAGAGTTTGTTTCACAGTTGAATCGTTAATCCACCCATTCTAGCACAAACTTGGCAATATATATATATATATATATATATATATATATATATATATATATATATACAGTATATAAGCTACAATCATGAACGAGAGGGACGCGGGAGGGTCCGTCCTTAAATACAAAAAGTGTCTTCTGGCATCCGTGTGCGGACTTGCTGTAGTGTGTGTTTTGTGGCATTGGAGGAGAAAAATAAGGTCCTGAGATATGCACTGTGGGGCTCCTGTAGAGAGTGTGATAAAAGTGTGCTATATATATAAAATGACAACAAAAAACAAAAATATATTCAAATCTATAGCAATGATGTGTTTGCACGGGATGTGTACAGTATGTTATGAGGGGCTGGACCGCGGCAGGGCCAGTATTCGTCCGTTGTTCTTTCCCCCGTTCATGTGTGTGAAGGGGATGTGGTGCTCCTCGTAGCTGCCCCTCAGGCCCATGGAGGAGGCCTCGTCCCTGTCCGAGCACTGCTCCCTCTGGGAGTAGGACGACGGGTCCAGCGGGATGCTCTCCATGTTCTCCATGTCCAGGTCAAAGTCTTCGCTCTCAGGCGGCTTGTTCTCCTCGCTGTAGAAGAAGGACATTTCCTGGAAGGAAGGATGCAGGTCCTCGCGCAGCATCTCGATGATCTCCTGGAAGGCGGGACGCATCTTGGGGTTGTACTGCCAAGACATCTGCATCAGGTTGTGTCTGGTGGAGGATAAAGAGTGAGATCGGGGTTAGTCTTGTTAGTTCACCATAGTTAATTGTTCGTTTTACAAGTTTTTAAAACGTTCTTCTTAAACATTATCCGATATGAAAAGGTTTAATTAATTTACTTAATAAAATCTCAGAAACTCTATACTTTTCGGGATATAACCTATAACCTAATTGTGACTGTTATATTGACTACCTGTTGAGGCTCTATTGTAGACAGTAAGAACATCTGTGTGACTGAGCAATGTCAACCAACATACTCAAGTAGGGGGAAAATGATCACAATATATTTTCTCAGTCCATCTCTTGTACTCACATTCTGTCGGCGCAGTTGTCCGGCCGGTCCAGGTATCCTCCGTCCATGACGAACTTGAGGACCTGCTCGTTGGACAGGCCCTGGTACGGCTGCTCGGCCAGCGTGCTGATCTCCCACAGCACTACTCCAAACGACCTGGAATACAAGTGGACGACAAACAACAGCCACAAAGGGACAAAGAGGAAGAGCCAATTAGACACCTGACAGCGGAAATCAGTTTGTAAACACTCAACGCAGCGAGCCCGAGGGCGGAGGCTGCGATGCTAGTAAACAATGTCAGATGAAAACAGGTTAGCTACAGAACACACTCATGATCTGATCTCATATGATAAAGACCTATTTAACATGCACTTATTATTTTTATACTGTATACTACCAGACATATCATGAGCGAAATAGGCAGTGAACACCTGCAGTGTCACAATGATATATATCTCTCTCTCTCTCTCTCTCGCCATAATAAGCTTATTGCAAAGTCAAACCAGGGCTATCAGTGGAAATAAAAAAATGGTTATGTTCTAGCTAAACTTAGTTTTCTGAAGCCATTTTTCAGAGCACTGTTTTAAATGTGTTCCCAAAAACAGATGGGTTTTGCTACAAAGCAAAGCAAACCAATGTTCCGTCTATTTATCTTTGGGACACAGCGAGTATGGTCTGTTTTAGTATCAGTCAGATTTGCATAATCATAGATACACACATACTAAATGGGGCAAATGTGTAGAGACACATCTAAGCCATTAGAACAAACGTGTTGTTAGCTTTTAGGGGTTTAATCAAGGATAGGAACTTTAATATTTGTAACATGATGATGACGTCTGTTTATTAAGGTAAAACTGCTACTGATGATCCTATATTTTTCTTCACTTGCAGAATCTTTTAAGACGATGTATGAAAAATGATCAAGTTTTATGAATGTCCTCGAAAAACCCTGATCCTTGAGATATACATCTCCTGTCCAAGATGCTGTTCAACTCCATCTGTCACTTAACACCCTGTTATATCATACAGCATCTTCGCGCCAACACACACACATAAAGAGGTGTCACTGACCAGCAGTCTGAATTTGCGGTGAAGACTCCATCCTTCAGAGACTCCGGAGCCATCCACCTGACGGGCAGCAGCCCCTTGCCTCCCTTCCTGTAGTAGTCCGTCTCGTAGATGTCTCTCGTCATGCCAAAGTCTGCGAGGAAAAGATTGTTATTGATTGTAGTCATACACACCCACACTGATGTGATTTGATACAAAGTGGTATGTTTTTAAGGCACTAATACAATTTAGCACTTGTTCTTTACGGATTTCTTCGTCCCTGGAGTGTTTAATCTGCTTTCAAAATCTGTGTTTTATGTTAAAAAATATGTTGAATTAATAGATGTAATTCAACTTGATGCTTTTGTTGAGGTGAGCCAGTTTAGGTATTTTGTCTGTTCTGCATAAATAAGTTTAATTAAGAAAACATAATGAATATATAGGTTATAATGGTTATACATCTAAACCAAAAGCCACTGAGAGTCTACATCAACAAGCTAATGTATCCATTTCAACACAACGTCCTGCATGTCCAGAGAAACAAACAGTCCACACCACTTTATCTAGCTTTATGTGGAATATCTTATGTTCGTCATACAAGCATTGTCAATTATTGATGCATAAAGTCATAAAAGCCACACATTTATAAAATAATTCCCCACCTTTTTTTTTACAAATACATCAGCAATTTCCTGACTACATGTTAAAAATGGTAAATACTTATTTCAAATTCAATAAGCTGTCCTAGTGATGTGAGAACCACCCTGCATTGTTGCCAAAACGTACCTCCTATTTTGACGGTGAGGTCGGTTCCCACCATGCAGTTTCTGGCTGCCAGGTCTCTGTGGACAAACTTCTTGGCGTTAAGGTACGCCATGCCGTCTGCGATCTCAGCGGCCATTTGGATCATCTCCTTCAGAGTGGGAGGCGGGCGCCCGGGGTTGTTCTGAAAGGACACAAGACAGATTTTTAATATCTGATCTGCCAACATAAAAATTCACACCTTGTTCCATGTCAACAGCACGTGATTTGGAAACTTTGATTGCGCAGGATGAAGTCAAAATAATCAGGTTCATTACAACCAAAGGTTTATTATCACGCACAACTTCAAAAGTCAAGACTGCACGCTTGTCATATGCATTTTTTACTTGCCGACTCATGCAATAGATACGATCTCATTTTAAACTTCGCAGCTGTCTCCGTGCAGGCTCGCGTCTCAAACCGCAACATGAAGCCTTTATTTACACTTCAAGTCTATTTTCACGACAATACACATGACAAAATATAAGTGGCGCCAAATAAAACACTACCATCATTTAATACATAGTGTTTTATCATTTTCATTATTATCTTTTATTATGACTGTTATTTGAATCTTTTGTTTCTGATGGCATGTTCTAGTCTTTTATTGATGTTTATTTATTGATTCTGATATACATTTGAAGCCTGTTAGATCATTAGGGCTCGGACCAGATGGAGCCAGCAGACAGTGGCCTCCGTGTTGCTGTTGTTGCTGACCTGAGGTTTGCAGTTTAGACGAGAGCCTTTTCAGTCAGTTTGGAGACCTGCTGTTCGTCTCCAAACAAGTCTGTTTTCAGCTGCCAAGTGCCGACTGCTAAACTCTTCTGTCAACATCCAATAACTTAAACCTCCTTCTATTGCATTCCAAGTGCCATCTGGATATTGACACACTTCAGAAGATGACACTTAAATAGATAATCAACTTGTACAAGCTAGTCTGTACACAATAATCTGTACACTAATAAAAAACAATTGAAGGTAGGACGCAAAATGTGGTTAATTTGAAGGTACGGTAGGTAAAACTAGTGTGACCATCCGTATTATGATCCGATTATATTTGGGGATTAGTCGTGAATCCACCACAATCTGTCTGGGAGGAAACCAGCAGATGGGGTCACATTTGTCCTCAGAAAATACTTCCTACTTATTGTGTTGACTTAACTGTTGGTTAATTTAAACACTGAAATTGTTCTCTGTTTGAACATCTGTGGCTTTATCCACGACAGCAGTTGGGGAGAAACTGTGCTTTTACATGTAAAGTTTGTTAAGTAAAGTGTATTATAAAGTGCAGAAGGAAGTCCTAACTTCTCTAAATTCGAGTAAAACAGTAAACAGGATTTCCAATGCAGAAGCTAAAAGGAAATAAGAAAACACACATTTGAAATGTGTTTACAGATAAGAAAAAGTACTGCACCATTTATCTACATAAAGCAGAAATGAGAAAAAGAAAAATAAGAGCATGGCAGAAGATACGAGTACTTCTGCCTGTTCACTAAAGCTAAAAGCAGATATGAGCATCACCTCAGCGTCGGGTCGCAGAGAGCGCAGGAAGCTCTTCAGGTCTCCGTGCGTCATCAGCTCCATCACCACCAGGGTGGGCTGCCCTTTGGACACAACACCCAGCAGACGCACCTGTGGGGACAAGAAGGGTTCTTTTATTTGGTATATAGTCTGGCTTGTTTGCATTATGCATTTATCTAACAAACAACTGGTCTGGTAACAGCAAGGTGACTCTGCTGCCCTTCACACAGCTATATGTAGGTCTGGTCTCTGGAAGGTGAGACAGTTAGCACCTACTATTCTAGATCAGGGTTATTTGTTGTAAACTTAAACAAAAATAGGCAGTAAAAAATGCTTTTGTACTAGATAATAAACCATATCCTTAAAGAAAAACTAAACAATAATAAAGGATTATTTCCTGGTTAAATAAACTAATGAAAATTAAATTAAAGTTTATCATAAAACAGCTTTTCTGTCAATTCTCTCTACATTGAACCACTGAAATTGAACTGACTTGATATTCCAGGAGATTCAAATTCATCACTTTTCTCAAGTCTCAAGTCCAATGTAACCAACTAGGGAATTTAACTTGATTCGCAAAAATATTTTACCATTATGGCCATCCCTACAGAGTTCTCCAACCATGTATTTTGTTTGTATATGTAGCTATATACTACTCAGACATTATGCCTGGCACTAACAAAAACAGACCATAACAAATAAATAAAACATAAATACTGAAACACAAAAAAAAAATACAAAAAAATAAAATAAAACTAAACTAAATGAAATCGAAAAATCTAAACTGAAATAGAATTAAAAAATATATCCTTCTCCGATCAGTTTGGTCTACATATGGACAGTTGAAACGTTTCTGTGGGGTTCATTGATTCACACCCCACATTGCACTTGTACGTATCAGTAACCAAAAAGCTCTGTGTTTAAGTGCTAGATGAGTTTCAGAACATGTCGTCTCTCCTCACCACATGGTGGCAGCTGAACGCCTTCATGACCGAGGCCTCGTTCAGGAACTCGATTCTCTCCCGCAGGCTAGCCGACTCGTTCACCGTCTTCACCGCCACGTGTGAGTCCCCCTCGCCCTTGATGATGTCCTTGGCAATTCCCTCGTACACCATGCCGAACGAGCCCTGCCCCAGCTCCCTCAAAATGTTGATCTTGTCTCTGGGCACCTCCCACTCGTCCTCCTCGTACACTGCAGGCACATTTTACAGGAACACGTTACACATGCAGCTTATAACGACTGAGTTCACAGGACCTTACGAAGGTTGGTTAGAACAAGACATTGGATAATGTGATCATGCAATTGATCAGTAATCAGATTTATATCCTATCCTGCATTTTCCAAATCTGATGTTATTTTGCATGCATTTTAAAAGACATCTGGTTAGTGTTACACAATGAAGGACTGAAGAGATCATTGGGCATGTTTTTCAGTAGAGTGAGGTTTTGGACTTATTCCGACAAATGTATTTGTTTTGGAAATCCAATCCGACTGTGTCATGTGCGAGCATATTAAAGAGGACATAAGTAAGCTTCTATATTATTGATGAAGCGGCTCTTTGCTTACCGTCAGCAGCGCTGAGGTACTCTGGGTTAGAAGAGGCGTAGATTGGACCACTAGGTCCTTGAGTTTGACTAAAAGGAAAAACACAACATTTACTTTAATAAATATATCATAATAGGATAATGCATGACAACAACAGGATGTACTGATTCCGTACCTCTTCTTGAACATCACAAATCCTGCACCGGCCACGAACAGCAGCAGCACAAAGCAGATGATCGGTCCGATGACGATCTTCACCGTGTAGAGAGGATCGCCTGTTCAACACACAGAGAGTGAGTCACATTTCAGGTAAGAACAACAACAAGCTCTTAATAAACCCTCAGCGAGCTGCAGCTCAAGGATCAATATCTGGCTCTGTGAACATACACGAGTACAACTTGTAGCATCTTTTGATCTCGATGTAATGCTTGAGAGGACTTAGTCATACAAAGCATCTGCATTTTAATCTTCTGCTTTTGCATACATTCAGATTGATGTGTAATCAAATGTTCCATGTATGGACTCCTCATCAAGTGTGCTGCTGGTGGGAACTAGTCTCATAATATAAAATTAACTAAAGTTACATTTCAGAAAAAATATTGTATTTCTACGGAGCCCTGTGCGGTCAAATGATAGAATAAAAAAAATGTGTGAATCTGTGCAAAGTTATTTGTAAATCCTGTCCTGTGTGGTTTTGCATTTAAGAGATGTCAAATAGCAATACTTGATTGTAAAACTGTGTGAATAGAATCATATTGATGTATGCATGTCTTGGTTTGGCTTCATGTCAGATGCAGACTTACTTGCGTCCTGTACGTAGAAGTACGTGGGGTCGGTCCAGGATCCGTTACCGGCCAGAGACGTGGCCCGGATCCTTACCGTGTAGTTCCCAGGATGCATCACTTTCAGCCTGCAGCCGTGGGTCTCTCTGAACATGCTCCTGGACACGCAGTAGTGCAGCTCCTGTAGGAGAACAACGCCGAGGTCCAGGTGTCAAGTCAAAGTCAACTTTATTGTCAATCTTCCAGTTTGTGTGTACAGACAGAGAGATCGAAATACCGTTTCCCACAATCCCGAAAATAAAAACATGTGTGCAAATATGTATATATGTACACAGAATTTTTACATGTGCACACAGTAAGACCTGAGAGATGTGAACAATACATGACAAACCAATGCTTCATCCTTTTCCAGTTTAAAAAAACATTTGCATTGGATTTAAAGTTGTATTTAATATTTCCACTGTGGAAAGCATCCATGTCTTTTCTTGTTTTCCACAGCGAATAACAGTCTGCAACATCAACCAGATGTTTTGTAGACCTGTCTCCATAGCAACTGAAACATGGTGCAACTCTAAAATTACTTTTCCATTAACTTTATCACCCAAATCACATTAGTGAAACCACAAATTCAAAATGCAAGTCCAGTAATAAGTATTGCCTCTCTTATTTGTCTGTGCTGCATGGGCAGTTTAAAGATGGATGCATTACATTTGATTGTCAGTGAAATTGTCTTTCATTAGCGGCTCGTTAGACAAATGAGAACCGGAAATATAAAAAGTGCTTTGTGACTGTGAATGAGTATAACTGTTTATGTGCTGTTGTAAACTCGCAGTGAACTGATGTACTCAGTGACCCAACCACTGAAAACACTGTGTGTGTGTGTGTGTGTGTGTGTGTGTGTGTGTGTGTGTGTGTGTGTGTGTGTGTGTGTGTGTGTGTGTTTCTTCACCTCAGTATCTCCCAGTCTCTTGTAGTTGACCTCGTACAGGATGATCATGCCATTGGGAGAATTTGGCTCCTGCCATGTGATGTGCACAGCATTTTCTGTCACGTCGAAGTTGATGGGACTCAAGACGTTATCGGCTTTGTCTGCGGGGAGAACAAAATCACATTGTCTTATAAATCATATTTCTAGCAAAACCCAGGTTTGTGTGGATAAAATAGAGGACGAGATGTATGAGTATCCAGTAGGAATACTTTTCTTTTTCTCTCTATCACTCTCCTCTGCTCACACGGAAAAACAGACATCATTATAGTTTTACCTACGCTCCCATGGCTCCCTGTGTCTTTTAGAATAGTGTTACGTTTAAAAAAAATTATGGACAAGGACAAAGATGGGATCGCTGAGTTTGTTGCATGTATTTTGATGGACTCTTATGTTGTTATGACAACAAAAGGTGGGTTGAATTGAAAGGACGGTAAGAAATGTATGATTTCTTTGTTAGTTGGAGTTTTTGGTTATTCCTACGAGTGCAGAAATGCATGTTCTCTAAAGAAAGCTCAAGGTCCCAATTCATTGAGTTCTTCAACAAATATTTTAGGAATTTCAATACACAGTACAAAAACATCTTTGTAATGAACGAGTCGAAGGCATTACCAAAATAAAAAATCTGTTTGTTGCCCAACAAACAGATGACATTCTTTCACTTAAACCACTATTTTTCTTTCTTTACCGAGAGTGAGAAAACATTTGTGTGGAGGGAATGAAAAGCCACCTTTTGTAAGAATAACCAACATCTCCAGGTCGAAACTCATTGATGTTAATGTTTTGTTTGAGAGCTCCAGGTGCCTCCTTACCTTCAGGCATGGTGCGGGCGCTGACGTACGCCGCCATGCTGCAGCGCAGCGGGTCGGTCGGGTGGTTGCAGGCGTGAACTTCGATCTGGTAGCTTGTGAAGTGGCGCAGGTGGGAGATGACGGTGGACTCCTTGGCGTGGACGGTGACGACTGTCTTTATGCTTTCCAACGGTTTCCCCGTCCTCGGGGGTGCCTGTGCCGTGGGGCGGGCTGGGGGCGGTGGTAAGGAAGGGGAGGGTTCGGTTGGCGATGCCCATCGCAGACCGCCGATGTCTGGAGCCTCTAAACAAGGCAAGGCAAAATGTACAAGAAATTAAAAAGATGTCAGATCTGCTTGCAACTTTGCAAACCTGTGTCTGACAAAGTCTGTCACTTCCTGAAAGTGACTTTCACAAGCACTCAATTGGCTAGCTGTGATGCGATGAAAAGGAGTTACGTTTAACCTTCTTTCTCTAGTTCCTTTGTTTTAAATGACACAACCATGTCTCATTTTGAGTGTGTATGAGAGCAACACCATTAGTGTTTTTCAGGAGAAATTGTCTAAAAATGTGCTTTAAGCTCCATTATTAAATTGGGTTTCACTTTCTCTAAGAAGATGACCGGTGTGATATTTGGATCACCTTTAAAACACCGTTGAATTTGAAAGTGTGGACAACTCTTTGTGAGAACAACTTATTTCCTAGTATCACCCTGTATTATACAGTTTAGTTCACTTTAGTGTGCTTTTCTGGGTTGAATTTACTGCAAAACAGGACAGTTCTAGGATGCATTTACAATTATATTTACCGTTTCCATACAACTGATAAGCAGAAGGGTCTGCAGGAAATATTGAGCTAGTTTCAGTGTAGTAGTGACACTAATAGAAGACATAATAGGGAAGAATGTATTAACATGATTTGCTTTAGCACAAATACTCTCTTATATAAGAGTGCTCAGCAGGATCCAAATAGCAAACACAAGATGGAACATGTTTTGTGGGAAGATAAATGGAAATCAATGTTGAAGTGTATTGAGTTTGACAACTCTGAGTTAATCAAACAAAAACACTACATTTTCCTTATGTTTAATTCTTAAAAGAAGTACTCTGCTGTCAGTTGTCTTACTTGAGCTCAAAGACTTCATTGTGGAGGTAATTTTCAAAGGTCTTGCGGTACTCCGAGTCCTCTTTCTCCTTCTTCAGCTCCTTGTCGGTCTTGGGGCAGCCGCAGCATCGCGTCCCCTGGCCCTGATCCTCCGTCTGGTTCCACTTCTGCTCTTCGTCACTGTCCACCTGAGTGGGCACTCGAGACGGCACCTTCATCCCTGGTGAACAGAACAAGGGAGTGAATGGGGTTGTTGGTGCAATAAACACAGACATGTTTTATGCACAAACATCAACGAACACTGGCACAAGCTTGAGGGGCAAGTCTGTCAGTGTCATCACCGAGTCCTCACCCTGTCTCTGAGATAAATTACCAGTGACACTGCCTCCCTACTGACTCCTATCTCTCCAGGATGTGAGAGAGAGATGGGAGTTCAGAAGAGGAAAGTTTGGGCTCAGTTTTATGCAAACATTGTCGGGAACTGATGGCAGTGCATCCGTGAAGGTCAGGCTGAGACAGCAAGAACTGAACCAAGATATATGTCTGAACTTCGCTTGAACCTGAGGCAGAGTGAGGGGAAGATCCAGTGCCAGGTTTCACGTACATTAGTCGAAATAATACTAAGCAAATAAAGAGATCACCTTAACTGCACTAGATTTTCTCGCTCAAGGGTAGAGATTAGATCTTGGTTCAACTCAAACAAATGCGCCACTATGTTTGAAAGATAAAACCTTTCCATAAATGCTTTTCTCTTGCCCTTGTTTGTCCTTCCTGCTGAGACACCATGAACACTGTTTCTTTGACATATTTCTATTGGCATTTATTAACTCCAGTTTTGGTGAATTGAATGTTCTAAAAAAGACAAGCCACTCTTCCAGATCTGCCAGGGGCATGTACAGCTAATGAAAGCTTTTTAAAAAAGGTTAAAATGTCTGTTAATTTTTAGGAGTTTCTTCAAATGTAATGTTTTATGTACATGAAGTAAGCAAACAAATATATAAAGAAAATGAGGATAAGCTTTTGATGGTTGTTTATACATTTTTGTATTGTTTTAGTTTTGGATGTTTGTTGTTGAATTGTTGCCGTTAAGATGGTATGCTTTCGTTTTGATAATTAAGTAATGTAATTTAAAGTGGACTTATCATGTTATATTTGAAACATATTGTAGGGCCATACCTATACAGAACATGTCTGTGAAGTTTTTTTTTCAAAATACCAAACAGTTCACCCGTTGTAGCCATGCCTCTTACTGCTCAAACCCCTCTTTTGCAGCCCTGTTAGAGAAACGCGGATCTTGGGTCCTTAGCTTGAAAAAAAGAAAGAAGAGGAGGCGGAGCTAATGCCTGATCAGAATTCTACCGGAGATAAAGTTAAATTCTGCTGTGATAAAACGCCATCCTGTTCCAAACCACGTCAAGGATTATTTCTGAAACAGTATGGAGCTAAAATGCTTTTTCTCTTGCAGGTTTATCACAAGGTGAGTCCTTTTGTATTTCCTGCTTTTTAAAACACATGTGCTCAGTTCAGTACAGATTAGCTCTGAGTGTTAGCGAGGCTTGCTAATGTAAACAAAGACGAGATTACGTCCAAAACGCGTCAGGCATTCTTTCTGATAGCAACTTTCTGTGGGTCCGCCGCCAATTTGACGTCAGTTCGGATGGAATCTGTATCCGCTCGTTGTACCCCCGTTTTTTAAAGATTTGGGTACGGAGGAAAAGAGAGAGGGTTTTATTTTCTGACGCTGCGTGAGTTCCCCGACGCACCGGGGACACATATTTATGTATAAAAGACATCACAAAGTGCATTTTGCATGATAGGTCCCCTTTAAGTTAAAAGTAGGTCTTTATGTATGTATGACAAGTCAATGAGCTGAAATATTAAACTCTCCTCTAAAACCGAGCTCTCATTCCTTGTGGCTGAACCAACTACTACCACTTGAGTCATGGTTAAGATGGCTAATGTAAAAAAAAAAAACTATTTAAAAAGTAGCAACAAATTCTGCAAAACCTATAATGCTTTGATAATTGATTTATAAAAGGTATCATAGCCTTTTGAATTGGAATTGAACTGATGAACGGCGATGCATTAAGATTCACACCCCAGAGTTAATATGTACTTAAAATGTCATGTTATCTATTGGGGTCATCGGAAGCAGTTAAGAGCTTGAAATGCTGTTGAGTGGGAGGAGCCTTTCTAGTAATGTGAACATGACAGAAGACATTCCTCCTCAGTCAGTCAGACAGTCAAACCGCAAACTCAGACGCAGACACAACAACAGACGACCACAACAATGCGGCTCACCCTTCTGACAGTAGTCGAACTTGTAGAGCTCGATGGCTTCCGGCTGCCGCTGACAGAAGACCAGGTAGTGGGTGATGTTACCGTTGGGGTCGTTGGGAGGTTTCCACTTGAGGATGATCTGGGAGGACGAGTTGGACGAGGAAATGGGGTCCAGCGGTACAGAGGGTTCTGAGGAGAGATCAGAGGAATACAGAGGTTTAACAAGTGGGATTGGTTGATGTTCAGCAGGGCTTCTTAAAGCATACGCATAATCGTTGACAAAAAAAGTTACAAAAACAGTTACAAACATGTACACAATTGTGAGGAATAGGGTGCACCTGTTAAACTATTAAAAAATAAGTTTAATTATGAATACAAATATAAAATCATAAAATGTTGAAGGGTCAATTAACTAATTTTATAAAAAACCCATTCAATATACTGAATATTTTAAAAATACATTTGTAGTTATCAATTTCTCTCCTAATTTTTTTTAAGGTGATCAATATTACATTTGATTCAAATGTTTAACTCTTTAAAATGTTATTCTTCTTACTGTATTAACCTTGGTTTTCACAATTATGCATCCTTCGCAGTTTGAGGTGCATCAGTGAAATGTAAGTATAATTTCACGACTGTAAAGTTACGTGTAATTTCCAGTTGCAAAACAAACTGCATGTTAAGATGAATTTTCTATTCCTAATTTGACCCTACTTAGTGAACACAGATTAGCTCCACTAATGCAAGAGGCATGATAAACATGCGTCAGTGTGATTTGCAATAGCAGTATGGGAACTCTTGCACTAACTGCTTGTTGTTTGTGAAAATGAAATGTAGCTGACAAAATGTATTTAGCGTCTATCCCACCAAATTTTGTGATCATTGATTTGTGCCAAATATGGGCATCTGATTACAAAGTGTGTATTCTGTGCAGTACAGAGTACAAAAAGAGGTCACCAGCTGCATGTGGCGGGAACACAGACTGGCATCACCGTATAACTGTCAGTCTGCTGAGCCGCCTTTTAAGTAGACGTATGAATCAGATTCTCGAGTGGGAAGCAAAAAAAACCAGACACCTTACATCTTAACAGCGTCCCGTCCTGAGGTAGATTAGGAGTTCAGAGACGATAGAAATATCACTGAACAGAAACTGTGAAGAGGGGAATGAACGGGAGGAAGCACGACAGACTGAACCCTGAGGAGACACAGAGAGCTGGGTCGTCACAGTGTGATCGTGTTGTCCCTGTTTCATGACGGTGCCACACACTGGTCCGACTGCATTGTCAGACTAAGTTTCACCAGCAGCAGTTTATTCATAATGACAGCTTTGCCCTTCTGAAGAGGTATTCTGGTTAGACATGAGACAGACCAGGAACCGGGGAGGTTGCCAGACGGGTAAGAAAACAACCCTCCCGACATCTCTGACTGACTGAGTGATGTGTCTGCTGCTGGAAGCCTATTGTGTGAGCGAAGGATGTCATGTTTGATGCGGTTTATCAGGAAGGAAGAGCTCATTGTGTAAAAGGAAGCCGGTTAGACGGGCCATCATGACTACGACAAATTCATCTGTACACGATGCACACCGTGGGTGGCAGAGTACAATTAAGTACTGGGGAAGAGATTTATCATCGTGGTGTGACCGCCTGCTGCAGACACCTTGCTGCACGAGGTAGCACAGCGTCGGTCGATGGCGCCCCGAGCGGATCGTGCCATCTGTCTGCCTCTCCCCTGTTCTTGTGCCAAGGACATTTTTTGAGCTGACAGACTGACACACACAACACTGGAGTGCACCAGTCAATGATAGTGACACCACAATAAATGTGGATTCCAGACAACCCCTAAAAAAGTCAAAATCCAGCAAAGAAAAGGGCTTTTTTTTGCGAAAAATTATTTCACAAATCGTAACCTGGAGCTTCAAATAACAGCATCTTTTGATAACCTTAAGAATTTGGTTTGAGGTTTGAGATTTGTACTAGTTTTTTTAATTAAGGAAGACGTGTCTCAAACATTGATTTTCTTTTAAGAGATTGCTCGATGATGATAATTGTTCATGTCCGTTACTGTAACCTCATGCCTTTACTGATACCATATTTTTTCACTTTCTTAAACAGCTCATCTGTTATTCACATAAATAATCCAGAGATTTCAAATAAATCGGGGGAGTATTTAACTTTATATCCAGTGAACAACACAGATCTAAATCAGTCTTACTGGTGGCGTTGGTGCGGACATATATGATCTCGCTCTTGGCTCCGAGGACCTGGTGCTCGTCAGAGGCTGAGAGCTGCGTTTTCACCATGATGGCGTACTGCGTCCACGGCTTCAGAGGCAAGATGAGATGACCCGGCTCAAACTGCTCCTTGTCCCCCTCTGTGGCCCGGCGCGGAGGGTCAACGTCAGCAATCACCCAGCTGTTGGAGCCGCAGGCGTCCTGCCCGTCAAACTCAGTTACGTTCTGAAAAGTTCTATTTTGGGGAAAAACAATAACAGTAAAAAGTTATATGCCGGCTTAAATTGTATTCCAGTTGAGAAAAGGATATTGAGTTTCAGTTTGATGTTTTACAGCCATTTATCATGGAATATATCTGGCCAGGCAGTGAAGCTAAAAAGCTTTACAAAACATCTCTGAGGCAGAAGAGACGGTTAAAACAGGATTTTTTTTTAAACTAATAAAGGTCCAAAACTATTGAATACAAATAAATAATACCTTTAAATTAATTCAAACTCAACCTGCATGACCTAGTGATACAATATATTGCAGGATTGATGTCCAGTTAATTGTTTGGTGCTTCACTAAAGCCAACAGGTGACCTCATATTAGTTTCTGTGGTAATGCTACTGCAGGCAGAGAATGTTACATCTATTGTGTTGAATCTAAAATGCTTCCTTCAATGACTTCTTAGTCAGTTCAGTGTAATTATTTGAAGAGACTCTTTCAGGAGTTTTGATGTTATAGAGTAAAGTACCGGGCTAATATTGTAAACAGTAACAGATTAGTTGTGTTATATCAAGTGTTTTGCCATTAACACCATCCAAAATGCATCTGATCTGATTCAATTCATATTTTTCATAAATATGATGTACTATGGCAGCTAATAAAATATTTGTCTGGCAGAGATCTAGGTTTGAATGTTAAAGATGGATTTAAAATGTACTTACGCTTCTTTGTAGAGCACCATAAAGCCCAGCAGGTCTCTGAAATCTGGAGGCCAGAAGGGCTCCCACTTGACCATTATCTTATCGCTCATGGTTCGGATCTGGGTAAACTTCAACGGATGGTTCTCACCTGATCAAGAAAAAAAAGAACCAAAATAAAAATTGGAGTACATGGCTATAACTTATCTCTTACAAAAAGCACAGCACTTCATTGTAAAGCTACCATTTACAAATAGCAAGTATTAATCCTGTATTTGACTAATAATAATATTGGGGGGGATGAAACCCTCTTTAATGGTCACACATGCAGAGCACACAGCACACACAGTGAAATGTGTTCTCTGCTTTTACTAGGAGCAGTGGGAAGCTATTGTACAGCGCCCAGGGAGCAATGGGAGTGGGGGGGAAGGGGGTTGTTCGGTGCCTTGCTCAAGGGCACCACGACAGGGCAGGAGGTGAACTGGGAGGTGAACTGGGACCTCTCCAAGTAGCAGTCCACACTCCATTTTTAGGTCTGGTCGGGGACTTGAACCGGCGACCCTACGGCTCCCAGTACAAGCCCCTACTGACTGAGCCACTGCCGGTATACAGTTGGGCTCCAGTTTGCTGTTATGACCCGGCTGCTAAATGTTTGCACGCAAAACAAGCTAGCAAGTAGGGCTGCTCAATTAATCGTATTGTAATCGCAATTACGATTATGGCTTGCAACGATTACGAAAACAACGTAATCGATTATTTTTTTATTATTATTATTATTTTTTTATTGGTTTTTCAGTTGAGTTATACTTAAAGTTCAGGATAATCAACTGTTAAAAACATACTGTTAAAAAAAAAAATTCTCCAATAAATTGATGTTTTCAAAGTAAATGGATAATCGTTTTTAATAATCGTGATATCAATTATTGACCCAAATAATCGAGATTATGATTTTTGCCATAATCGAGCAGCCCTAGTTTCTAGCAAAAATGTGTTAAGAGATGACATGAGCAGTCCTACCAGCATTTGCCATGGTGGCCAAAACATTTTTATTTGGTCTTAAATTGTAGTTCAACATTTATTTCCTGTTACTTCTGGACCATGACGGTGGGCCAGCCTTTAATGTTTAACTGAGTGGAATATGTTGAATATGTTGAACCAAAATGTTGGCTATATGTTAAGGAGCTTTCAGGTTGTGACAGTGCACTGCAACATGTTTGTTGATCTTGTTTATTGGTATTTATTATTTTGATATAATTTATTTAAATGTAGATATGAATGTATAATTTATTTTGTATTGGTTTTTCAGTTGATTACCCTGAACGTATAATTCAACAGTTAAAATGTTCAAATTATTATTTGTTTTAAAGTACAATAAATGGATGTTTTCAAAGTCAATGAATAATCGCATTTAATAATCGCAATTACAATTATTGACCCAAATAATCGAGATTATGATTTTTGCCATAATCGAGCAGCCCTACTAGCAAGCACCCCAACTTTAGCAACTGAACTATATTTAACCGTTTAAAACAAGTGTAGAAGAAAGCATCACCCTGTAATGCCATCCAACCGGCATCTGCTATCATGCGACTTGTGGGTGTGTTCACATTACAACATACTGTAGGGGCAGCCTATTGGAAATACTCTTGTTCATAAACTACCATTGGAAACAGTGATATGATCCTGAACACAACGTCACCTTTTCAGATAACAACGTTTTCAGTTACAGCTCATTCTAAGCGGAAGAAAAAAACGGTGCAAAGTTGAAATTATTTTCCACAAGATTTTCCAGGACATTTTACTTTCTCGCTCTTTTCCCTGACTAAAAATGTTTTCCAGGACACGTTGGAACCCTGAGTCTCTTTAGTTTTCAAAAGAATAAAGTAAAAGTATTAAAAACATATAAAACATTATCCCCTTGTCTCAATCTATAATGAAACAGTATAAACTCATCCCTGTTCACTGTCACCTAACTAGATCAGAATATGTAGTTAAAGCCAGAAACAACAAATAGGACAAAACCTATATCACTGTTACCATGTCAACAGTTATTCTTTGCTTTGCTCTGTTGGTTGTTCCCAGTTAATCCATCAGTAAACATATAGGAACAGGAAATGACCATCATAACAATAACTAGGACTCTGATTGTGTCTGTACCAGAGTCGACTCGTCTGTTGCCATAGTGACTCCTGTAACAGCTGCCATGTTTTCAGAGGTTCTTACATGAGGCCTGGTCTCCGTTGGTCTTGGAGGCGATGTCGTTCTTGATTTGCCTGTCTTTGGTCCCCGACACCTCCTCCATCTTGCGGATCTCCGACATGCAGAGTTTGGAGTTATAGTGGAAAAACATGCGTCCCTGAAGGATGGTCAGCTTGTGTTTGGACCAATCCCAGAGCTGCCGCAGGTTCTGGTTATCCAGGGCATAGAACGAGTAATTTCTGGAAAAGAATACACAAAATTGCATGAAACATATCCTTCATGAGGCATAGGATTTAGCTGAGGATTATATGAAAAATGTAAAAGTGTCTGAGAGTGGTTAGCCCACATTTTGCATCATATGCCATGCTTAAGTTTAGCCCAATGTGCTGCAAGTGCCTTCCACCTCGACTGAATTAAACCTCATATATGATTTGGGAACATCTAACAAAAAACAGTTACCACAGAAAGACATTTTGAAAAAGGTCAGTCCTTCCGCTTTTAACTCATAATTACAGGCAGAGGCTGTGACATGGCGAGGATGAGACGAGGCTCAGAAGAAGGAGACTCACCCGATTTCCTGTTCCTCCCCGCGAATAACACGGAGTTTGCGGAAAAACGAGAGGGATACGAGGGCGTAGGAACGTCTCACTGTCAGGTATCCAGTGATCTCCTCCAGCTGGCCCAGGCTGGCCTCCAGTTCAGCTGCAATGTTGTCTGCAGAAAACCAGAAGAAAAAGCCCTGAAGTGACCTGTGCTTCCACAGCATGCTCAGTGCTGAAGCTCCTCAGGCAGCTGTTGTTTGGCAACAAACTGATCTCTGTTTTCAATTCTTTGTTTTGTTCATCCCAGCTTTCTTTTTGGCAAAATAAGCTGTTCTGGCAAAGAAATTATTGTTTACAATCAAATAAACTTTTAGACATTTTCATTATAAAATGTCATACAATGTTCATGCCCAATGTGTCTTTGTGCTAATGGTTACGTTAAATGTGCTACAAATCTGATACAAATATTGTGTGTTAATCTACACCTAGCTTCTTGCCTTTTCTTAGAGAAAGGACAAATACATTTTTTTCTGAAGAACCAAAACATCCTTTTAATCACACCTCATGCAAACCTCTTACATTTGTGTTGACCTTTTGATCTGTTCATTAATGTATATTGGTGTATTTTTGTTCAAAATATGTCAATTGTTTTATAAAAACACAACAAACCACTTGAGATCATCTAATTCTCAAAGTGGTCTCAGATTCTAAATGTTATTTTATTTCAATTTACAATCTGGTTTATTTGTAATAATGTCTCCTATTGTTGTTCTGTTGTATATTGTAATCTGATTAGAGCACAGATACTCACTTCCTCCACGCAGGTTGATGACGAGGCTCCCGTTGAGGACCGTGCAGCCTCTCAGAGCCTGGGCCGCCGTCACAGAGTCGACCATCTTCAGACCCATACAGACCTTCGGACAGAGCCCTGCACAGGGAGTGCAGATCAGCCTATTGAAGAAAAGCGTGACAAAAAACAAAGATTAGTCAAATATTCTGAAATATGTGTGTTGGAGCAACAAATCAAAAACTGATAGATGTGCTTTGAAGTTAATTCAATTTTTTTTTACAATTCTCTTTAACACGGACATACTAGAAGCATCTGGCTTGCAGGTCGTGAACAGTCTGATTTTGTTTTTGCTGAAACCGGCTGCCTGTTATGGCTGAAAGGGCTGATAAGCAGTGATATTAAACTGAAACAGTAAACTCGCCGGCCAGACAGCTGAAAAAGTCACTTTAAAAACACCAAATCTTTCTGTAGAGCGGAAAACTCGTTTCTGTGGATACATTACTATGAGCTAGCAGTAAAAACATTGATTGCATCATAAACCTTCATAACAATCCATACATGTCTTCTTGCCAAAGACAGCTTTTTTTCAAACTATATTTTTCTTGTGTGAGTTGCCGAGTGGAAGAGAAAGAGAGAACATTGTAAGTTCCTAAAAGAAAACTACTCACAACAAGACTGTTTTTGAAGGTTCAAATGTAGTATTTAAGGCGACAATGAGACAATGCGCTGTTTGCACAGAGTTTTTGTCTTGATTGTGTTCAAGTATTTGTTGCTGCTGGCTGGTTGGTTGGTTTATGAGGTGAGAGTGCCATTGTTTAGCAACGGTTGACTAAGCTGTCACAACAATTACAGAAGAATGTGGCATTTCTTTTGTGGATGCCAAATAATGGATGCTGGTGGCAGCTACAGATATCATGGCACTAATCTACAAGTATATGTTCAAATAAGATAAATATAAAGCAGAGGGTACAGAGGCACTTGTAAAAGATTCATGACAGCTTTAAATAACAAAACAAAGCATCACTGACAAAACACAAAAGATAAAATAGCTGAAAAGCGTGTCTATGTCTTGCAAACAAAAGAAGGTCTATGGCATTGTTACATATCTCTTGACCTTTTTCCCTCTAGTGCCACATCTGCACTTTCAGCCTAGACACTCATAACGCCTTGGAGTACACCGCTTATCCACAAAGCACTTTCATTTCCACAGCTTAGGTTGAAGCCAGAGACGGAGATGGATGCCAAAGAGAAGAGCTGTGCCATAAGGGGAACAGAACGGGATTCAGAGGTTGAGATGAGGGTGGGTTCATCACAGGTCAGCGCTGGTATAAAGGTTTAGATTACAGCTCTGATCACCTGGCAGGAAGGGATCACATCTGCCCATCGAGAGGCTCCTTTTAATGAAATTGGTTCAAGCATTGTTTCAAAGATACGAGCAGCTCCCACTCAAGTTTCACGTGTGCAATGTAGGCAAAAAGTATACAATAATATATATATAGCTTTATATTGGATACACTAATGTGAAGTTATTGTTGTGCATTTTTTTATTTCGTTATTACAACGTTCCTATTGTTTCAACTCTGCTGAACAAAAATAAATATATCTATATAACAGAGAACAGTATCATATAATGCAATTAATGTTATGTGTGTAAAGCACGTGATGTCAAAATATAGATTTGATATAAACCAGAAGTCATGCCTTTATGACAAAACCCTTTAAAGCTGGCACTGAAGATGGCTGCCGTGTGTCAAGCTCCTCCTCATTCATTCTCATTAAGCACTGTTTACATTCATATTATTCATTTGCAATACTAATTGCACTTGCAATAACTTATGTCTTAGATACAGATTTTGCTTTCAACTAAATTACTTCAATTTTTATAGATACTTAATGAGCATTGTTGGAGAGTGCCTGAGGCCCAAGAATTGTATTGCCATGACTGCCAAGTGTAATTGTTGCGCATATGATGTGAACAAAGAACTTGAACCCAACAAATGTGTTAATAATGTTTCGTATTGTTTTACAAGCCTGATGAAATGCACTACAGCTTGAAGCATTTTATTTAACTGATTATAAATGAATCTATGTGGACTTTCATTATTTCTGTTGCACAAAAAGGAACATCTGGGTGTGTGTGATTTTCTTCTGATCTCAAACGTTGGATCTGAACAGTGATCAAACATCAGTAGCACTTCACCCTCATCTGCTTACAGAGTCCAGGTAGAAACGTCCCAGGCGTGTCACTCCATGAATGTGAAGCCGTGTGTTGTTTGAACAGAGATGAATGGTGCTTGTCAAATCTTCTCTGGATAAATAAAGGTTAAACACACATTACTTTTTGCCTGTCATCACTGTCGTCAGAGGCAGGCTGCCCGCTCCACGCTGCTGCGGCTGCTTGCCAGACTCACTCACTCACTCTATTTGCAGCTGGCCAATGGAGTCCTGCTCCCCGGGTCACTGACAGCCTCCCCTGGAGTTTAAGTGCCTCCCAGTCTTGTTGTAACAGAAGACAATAAGTCCTGAAAGATCCAGCTGCGTTTTCAACCTCTGCCCGAGCAAAGTGATTAGTGCTGTCTGCAGAGTCTCGCAGCCACGCCCACACTAATCAACAGCCCGTCATGGTCAGTGAAGTTGTCAAAGAGGGATGCGATAAAGGTCAATGGCAAGTCAGCACAACCACAACACCACACTTCAGGGAGGGAAGTCTGTTCGGATTAAGCTTACCAAGATATGCACACAACTGGTTGTAAATTACAGATGGAAATAAGAAGGGAAAAAACACTTCACACGTCAGTGCCTATAGCTCGCTCACCGCAATGCGGACAGCAGCAGTTGGTAAACAATCATCAATCATTTGTGAGGCGTGTGAGAATTTTTTTTTTTCCCGCAGATGGATACAGTCAGGCTCCGAAACCAGGATGTGCCACTGTGCCAGGCTGCGCTGCACCACTTTGAGATGGCTTTCTGCGGTCTCACACACGCTACAAAGAGGTGTGTGTGTGTGTGTGTGTGCTCATAAACAGTGCTGTCTGAGCTCAGCAGGACCTCTAGTTCCTGCTGAGTCACTCTGTGCTCTGAACACAGTGACAATAACTAAACCAAGGCAGGAAATTATAATTTAACACCACCTTTTTTTAACGAGTTTTAACAATTTTTTCTTTTAAAATGGAGTCTGTTGTTGCTATCGTTATGATCACTTTTTTTATAAAAGATTAAAAGCTTTTTGCTTTAAGATAAAATCTGAAAAACAACTTTTTATTTCTTTAGTTTTTTCTTCCTAGTCATCTGCCTGATCTATTTGGATCAAATACAAACATCAAACGAGGAGGACATATTTTATGAAGAGGCAACAACGGCATTGCCGGCTTAAATCTCTATCCAGAAGCAGTTGACGGACTATGAATGAGTTGTATTAGTGAAGAGTTTGGAATGGGATTCAAAGGTTTAAAAGTACCAATAAGGTATAAAAGATGAGGAATATTATAAGGTTTGTAGAAAAGCTGACACTCAATTAGATTGTTGATTTCATAAGTTAATAGAAAAATGTAGAACATTTGCTGAGAGTTTAAATAAGAGTAAATAAAATATAGCCAGTGAATGCTCCTAGCAGCCACCATTTTTTTCACACCAGATAATAACAAGTGTTCTGTCACTGATCACACATTGTTCCATCAGACCATCAGGAGCCCATCAGACCGGCATGAGTGTCCACTTACGAGGAGGAGTTGACGGTGGTGTAGCCGGAGGGACACTCGTGGATGCAGGCCCCGTTGTGGATGACGTACTCGTGGCAGTCGGCGCTCTTGCTGCGCTCCTTCTCGCGCTTGCATCTGTTGTGGAGATCTTGGCAGAAGCCGAAGGAGACGCAGCGCCAGCCCCTGTAAGTGAAGTGGTTTTCGGGGCAGCGGACCACACACTTGTCCTCGTGCTGGAGGCCGCGGCAGGCCACGCAGTGATCGGCTGAGTGGGGCTTCAGGCAGCCGCCCAGACACTGGTCGTGGCAGCACAGGTCGTCCTTGGTGCAGGCTCGATGTTTACAATGCATCGGGCACACTGCAGGGGAGAGAGGAAGGACAGAGTTAGTGAAGCAAATGTGGAAGTTCAAGAAAGGATTGAATATGAGCAGAGGGAAAAGAGGCAGGAAACAGAAGCTTATCAGCATTCAGACACCTGCGTTTGATTTCAGTTCAACTACTGTAACAAAATCTGTAATCAATGTGCAATATATACTTTTATTTGTACTACTGTTATCTGGCACACTTCTACTACATGCAACAGAATCAGAATACCTTTATTAGTCCCAGAGGGGACATTTACATTGTTACAGCAGGAAAGAGCCAAAGACAGCTCAATGTTACCTAATAAAGCATGCATAAAAAAAACACTTAGTTTATTTATTTTTAAATACTGTTACTTTACTTATAAAGTAATTTTTGTAAATTGTCATCTCTATCTCTAATATTTTATGCATGGCTCTTAATTCATTTTTTGCCTCTATAATTTCGATGTAACAATTTAAATGTCCCCTCTGTGGGACTAATAAAGGTATTCTCTAAGTCCCCCCAAGTTACAGTATATTACAATATATATTTATATCTCAAACTCCAGAGATATCTTGTATGGTCGGAGCTATGTGTCAGCAGGAGGGAAATCCCTCCTCCCTCACGAGCCAGCCGCCCAGAAGACCATCTGTCATTGGCCAACAAGCATGGTGAGTACAAACAGCGGGGATCCAACACTAGTTGAAAAAAGCCAGACACTTATCCAGAAGGCTTGGTGAAAGTGAGACAGAGGGCGAGAAACCTGGAGCGAGACACGTGCGTGATGTCTTGCTTGTTTCTTTTCTTTTAAACACAATAAAAGGAGTGACTTTTAATTGATATAAAATTAAATCAAATGTCCCTTCCTTATTTGTGTTTAGAAAGGGTTATTTGAAAAATAAAAATGTATACAAATCTTCTAGTTCCTCACGCTGAGAAACACTATGATCGATAGAGATCACAACAACTCAGTGGTACACACACACACACCACACACACACACACCACACACACACACACACACACACACACACACACACACACACACACACACACACACACACACACACACACACACACACACACACACCACACACACACACACACACACACACACACACACACACACACACACACACACACACACACACACACACACCACACACACACACACACACACACACACACACACACACACACACACACACACACACACACACACACACACACACACACACACACACACACACACAAATCTGTTTCCAAGAAGAGGGCATTCCAGTCTGTAGGTAGGCTGTTTGTACATGCATCTACATGTGTGCGTGCCCTTAATTCAGCCAGTTACGTAACATCAGACTCTGCAGGTGTGAGTGTGTGTGAGTAGATCAGCTGAGTTTGTGAGTACAAGTGTGTGTGGATAGATGGAGGATTGTCAGAGGTAAATACAGCTGACTGACCTGCCTGCTCAGATTAGCTTGTCAGCCAAGAGAGCCACATTAAGACCGTTTGACAGCCGAGGAGATACTGAGTCCCTACGGTTAAAGGCAGGTTACAGGTCAACTCGTAAAGTTGGGATTATGTTCCTTCTTTTAGGGCAGGAGTGGGGAACCCTTTTCCTCTCAAGGGCCATTTACATTGTTTCTACATTCTCAGAGGGCCGTACAAATGATTGACCTCTGCTTAAAAATACTAAAATCACAGCCCATTCATTTCGCCTTTCTTTCATGCTGAAAGCAACCTCTTAATCCAGATATGTCACCATGACTCGCGCATGCATGCACGTGCACGGTTGTGGCATGACCATCCAAACGGAAAGATATGGACACAAGATGTGTGCAAATGTATTTAGTTTCCTATCCATGTGAACATGATTGAAGTGGGAGGGGGGGCCTAACCTCCTCTAGGGGGGTCCGGGGGGCATGCTCCCCCGGGAAGATTTGTTTTTAAATGTTGAAGTTAAAAGCATCAATCTGGTGCACTTTGAGAGCAACATTAGGAGATCTATGGAAACATCTCTCAACACCCATTTGAAACAGAACTGTAAGCAGATTTTCTTTTTGGATATTTTACAAATCACTCCCCTTTTAAACTGTATTCTTGTTTATTAATAACAACTTTGTTTTGACTGTCATATAGTATTTTATACCCGTTTACTTTATTCTCTTATAACTATAATGATCATATAAAGATGTGCCTTTACCTCACTGGTTGGAGAAAAAGCTTCTTATATTCGTTAGCATAGCTAGCTAACCAGATGCTAATAACAACAAAGTTATTGACTGTATGATCAGAATGACAGATGAACAGATCGCCACTGGGCTTTCAACTAAAGACACAGACACGCAGAAACTGCGGCATGTGTACGGCTCCTTATGGGTACTGCAATTTCTGAAGTGCCGGAGCGGCGTTCTGGTGCTCTCCGTCAGAACTGCACCTCTGTCAGACGAGATATATACCACGTGATGACGCGTTAGGCTCGTGTTGTGTTCAAGGACCCTGACCTTGGCCAGGAAAAACAGGCACTCGCTTGTTTAATTTTGTTGCGGTCTAGATTTCTTAAATTGTTTTCTTTTTTGCGTGTGTTTATAAATTACCTCGAGGGCTGTACCAAATGGTCTCACGGGCCGTATACAGCCCGGGGTCCGGAGGTTCCCCACCCCTGTTTTAGGGGTTTGAAATCATTTTCACCCACATTAAAACAAAACAAGAAGGGACATTTATGTTCCCATTGCAGGAGACAATTATCTCCAAAGTCTGTTGCTCTCTATTGTTGCTGCTTGGTTTCATTAGTGTCCTGAGGTTGACCCTTAAATTACCAAAACAACATGGACCCCCTGTCCTCATAGATTCACAGAGGTAAGCTCTTAAAGATTAAAAGAGTGTGTGTTTGGGGCGGGTGGCAGCAATATGAGAATGGCAGTGTGCGCGGGGAGTTAAAGGGGGCTTGGTGCTAGAAAAAACAAATTATATAACCACCTTTTATCTACGTCAGTCTGTAAATTGAAATAATCTACTCGGCAACAAGATTTACAACAATACAAAAATTATGATTTTCACGCTTTAAAACAAGAAATATCTGCTTGATAGGTTTATGTTCAGACTCAATAGTTTATTAGAAAAGCTGCCCTTCAACTTCCCCTCCAATGTGATGTATGTACACACAAACACACTCCCAAAGCTTTGCAGTCTGCTCACACTGACTCCTGATCCTGCAGCTGGCTCCATGTCGGAGCACAGGCCCAGCAGCAGATCCACCCTCAGCCTTAGCCAATGTGTAGGCTAGCTGCAGAAGCTAGCCATTCAAATGGCCTCTCCCATCTCCAAGGAAGACAGGCGCACAGTTTAACCCTTTGTGTCCCTCTCTCCCCCCGCAGCCAGTCAGACAGCGGCAGCCGCAATGGGAGGTCTGAAAAACCCTCCGACACAAGAGCCACATAGTAACAGGCTGGAGCTGCTCTACTTTTTCCGTCTCTTCACAACTGTGAATCGCCTTCTTTTCTACTAATCTAAACACAAGTATTTCCTGGTAAATAGTGCTGATTTTCAGGCACATCAATCTTGTCAGAACTTTTCAACCGGGAAAACATTTTTCTTTGTCTTTAATGTGATTGTTGATTGGAATGTAGTAGTAAAATGGGTTCAAACACGTGTTGAGACAAACCTGTTGTGTTAGTATTGAGATGAACAGCTCGCTGCCTTGGGCGATGCATCAGGTCTCATCATGTCCACAACTCATTAGCAGATTTTACATACGTTAACCGCACGGGAACAACTGAAAAAAGTCCATACAAATTGAAATATGTGTTTGAACAAAAACAATAATAAGTCCTTCAACAAACTGATGGATCAGGGGCTAAGGGCTGACTTTACATTTAAAAATAATCATTTCAGACACTATGATTAAATAAGTGGAAGGCCATTCATTATTATTTAATAATGATTTAGATAATAACAGACACACTCCCACTCGCTCCCTCCGCTCTGCTGCTGCCAACCTCCTGTCCCTCCCCACCCGGACCAACCTCAAGTCCTGGGGCGACAGAGCCTTCTCCGTTGCTGCACCCACCCTCTGGAACTCACTACCCCAATCCATCAGAGATTCTTCCTCCCTCACAGCATTCAAAACCCACCTGTTCAACACTGCATTCAACCACTGACCACCCCCCTCCCCCCTATTTTCTGTTTTGTTTATCTCTTTTTGTATTTCTTTGTTATCTATTTTTGTATTTCTTTGTTATCTATTTTTTTTGTTTTCTCTTGTCTTTATTTTTCTTAACTCTCTGCCAAAGCGTCTTTGAGTTTCATGAAAAGCGCTATAAAAGTCCCATGTATTATTATTATGATTAATAACTACATTTGAGCCAACTTCTAATATAAGGTAGTCACACAATCCTGTTATCATATGAACCCTGCATTAAAGCAGAAAGTTGCTCATTAAAATGAACAACTTTGATAAACGATAGAGCATTTCAGCGATGATCACCCACAAATATGTTTTGGGTCAAATTTGAACATGTGATTTGTTTTTTTGTTTTGTATAATTTAAAATGAAATATCTTTGGAAATTGTGTTAGATCAATTAGAATAAGTATTTGTTCTTTTTAAGTTTCATTAAAAATGGATATAAACAGTTCAGATAAAGGAATATAACTAGGTAGTTGCATCTCCACATTGAATCTGTTGCGGTGTATCTTATGGTTTTTTAACCAGTTAACTAAAGAAAGAAATACATTTATTTGGAGATATTTTTACAACCAAGACATCCCTTCAGTTGTGTTTCCAAGTAAAAATGCTCAAAGAAATAAATGTATCTAGCTGCACTTTACATGAGTAGATGATAATAATAATAATCCATCATTGCCATTTGCAGCAATGTCTAATGCTTTTTTTAACAGACGATGCAGACTTTTAGGGTTAAAGAGGGTCATTTAATTTGAGTAACTGATATCAACCTCCAGACATGCACCACCACTTTTATGAAGCTCAAGAACAAACTGTCGAAAAGATTTGCAC